TTGTTCGCCTCCACCCCGGCGTAATGTTACTCACTTTGTCCTGCTGGGCTGTCTTTCTTGTGCTCACGAGAGGGGTACCTTCTTTTACCAGTTTATGCCTAATCTTTCTATCACAGAACCACTTTAGTTGGAGGGAGAGCAAAAGAGGAAAGTTAAACTCTTTCGGGGGGGGAGGTCTTTTTCTCATTTCTGAAGGCACGACAATTGGATGAAATGGTTGTTGTTACTGCTTCTGAACTCGTGGCTGTCGTTAATGATGCAAATAATTTGATCATACCTTGTCAGAGTCGAAGTCGTGAAGAGTTTCCTCCGCCGGTTTTGCAAGGAACTCCCAGAGAGAGAGAGAAAAAAAACACCCAAGGAGATAACACACGATAAACACGGTTGACTTGCTTATTGGAAGTGCAAATAAACATAACTGAGGCGCGGGTAGGGGTGGCGGTACGCTCCGAAGCCAGTAAAATCTGTTGCACGCTTGCCACGGTCTGGAAAGTTTGGACGGAAGGGTCAAGACAGACGTTAAAAGCCGCGTGAGCTTTGTCCGCGTGCTGTCTGTTCGACCAGAATAAACACGGCAACTCAAGCCGTAGCTCGAGAAACACTGAGAACGGAGCGACGTTTTGAATGAGATTGCAATGAAACATTTCAACTGCACAGTTGTCTGGAATTCTCGACAAAATTCGATGATATTCGGCCCACGTTGACGGGAAGATTTAGTTTACAGATTTGTCTGCACATTTACAAAAGTTAAACAGCCCAGTGGGTCTGGACTCAAGGAGGTCTTTTGATACAACTTGTGGTTAGAAACGCACGTTAATGTCGGCCCATACCACATGACCAGCTGTGGAAATGGTTTCCCCACCGACAAGGGTCGATGGGGTGTCTCACTGTAGAATACGGGCCGTTCATCGCCGTACACCAACTGGGCACCGCTTGCGTCGTCATGCATGGACCCGGGGTGTCGCCACGCCATGGACAGATCACAGATTCAGGGCCTGTGCACCTCCCGCTAGACGACCTACTGAACAAATCTCTTCCATTTGTCGGTTGCGCTGACAAGTTTATTGCCAATTTGCTGAGGCGTTTTTTCTGCCAAAGGAAAAAAAAGAGAAAGAGAGAGATAGAGAACCACTTGGGAACAATTCGGCTTCAGTTTGGGCTAGAGGTGTTCGAAGATGGGCCGGTAATTTATGATCTGTCAAACGAGACAGATTACTGGTTGTTTGGAGACACAGCAGGAGCACACCAAATCTGTGCTGGGAAACCCAAGCCTTTTGTGTCTAGGAACGGAATATTCTCACCTCGGGAAAGGGGGTGAATATGAGCAAATAACTAATGGACAATAATGCAATTATACTTTATATTCAGAAAAACGATTCTCAACCTATCTCAAGTTCCAACTCTCAGTACTTTCGAACCACAGTCAGAATGCAGCTGGGGGAAAATACAGACGGCAACTTTCACGAAATGCAAACAAGTGCCCCCAGGTCTTCTCATAATTTGCAAAAGGTAACTTTTTTGTGGTCATTTCTGGGTTTTCTGGAGAAGATAGAAAAAATACCTTTCGGATACTTTTTATCATGTAGGGTAAGTTCATGTACACGTACAACCGTAAGGCTTTTACTCCAGCCTAACGCGCGTAGCACATCGCTTCTCGATCGGCTGGATGATGCGATATCGTCTGCTTCCCGGAATGTGCCGGTCGCACGATCCGAAATTCCCTCCTCTCTCAGTTACATACCAGGTCTCCGTGAGGTCCGCTAGGCGGGGGACCGGGCGCTCCTTCACCCTTCATTAGCTCCGCGTCTGCCGGCCGGGTCGACTTAATCACGGTGTTATCTAATAGTTAATTCCAGCCCTTGGCTCGGTCAGGTCCACAAAACAAGCGAGAAAAAACAAACCGGTGCTCTACCGGTCCCGTAATTAGGACCAGGGCCCTGGATTGTTATTCTTGATGTTATCTGGTTGGGATCAAATGTCTCTGCTCGCCAGGGGAGTAAACATCGAAGGAAACCAACTGATTAAGTAATTAAACAATGAATAACCATATCGATTAATTTTTATTTAACATATCAAATGTCAGGACCAGCTGCGGGATTTCGATGTCTGTCAATTGTTTTTTCCCGTCACTGCGACGCAGTTTTCATTCACTTTTCTCTTGTAAACTGCTATTTGATAAAATTAAGCAAGGCTGAATAATAAGTTGTATTTTCGAAGTGCGCCGGCGCAAACCGACGGACACATGTCGGACTATGAAACTGTGGGTCAGTTACTTCAATAAACCTGCCTTTTGGTCCATCACACTTGTCATTTTTCCCCGGAAAGAAGTGAGTCACAATTAAGAGAGTGACGTCAGCGATCATCGCTGCTGATTTTTATCACAAGTTTAGCGCCCTCAGCGTTTTCATTTTGCAGTCACTCTGAGTCACGACTCGTATAATATTATGCCTGATGACTGAAATCCTTTTTACCCGTGTTTATCGTAAGAGCAAGGAAGAGATGAATTTTTTTTAAAATAATGATATCCAAGCTTAATGATTACACCGCACATAGCTTCTGTCAAAGGCATATACTCAAAGTTTACGATGGAAAACAGAGACAGAAGAGACTATTGTTGGACAAGCAAGAACGAATATTCCTGCCGGGAGAACCCTGAACCATGTTGAGACAAACTCAACTGTATATTTTCGGCTTTAAAGTTAAAGGGAAATCAGAGTTTGTGCGCGAGTTCAACCATCAAGAAATGGCTTTCTGTCATTGTTTTTGCATATACATGAAAATGATGTGATAACGTGCCCGAGTTCGTGCGCTTCGGGTTTACTCTGATCTGTGTTCGTTCATCACAAACCGAGATGAACGTACCAAAAGTAAATGAAGTAAACCAAACTAAGGCTATGTTTAAACAAAGTGGGGGTATTTGCTTCCGTTTTATTTAAAAATAATCACGACTTCTTTCTGGCAGTTACCCACAGTGCAGTATTCGAAGGTCGATGGTCAAAAGCCCAATTCCTTTAAAAAGTCTCGAGGACTTTCTTGTATTCGGTTATAGCATTATAGAGTCCACGGTGTAAGTTGTGGTCTCACCGATTTCGCAAGTAAATGAGAACAAGGTATCAAACCTGAGCCGAACGGAGATCCGGGGGAACGATCAGCCCCCACGTCTCCTCCCATCTCCTGAATATGCAAGAACAGCCCAAACTGGCAGTTCATTGATTCGCCAGTGAGTGCCCCGACATATGACAGCCGGCGCGCATAATTACACACACATGGCTGCATAACACTGCCCCGATAGGCAAAAACCCACCAATCGCCGCCTCCGACTGATTTGGAAATGATGTACTGCGTACGACACTCACTTAATTAAAATGTGTCTGTAGCGTCATTCATGCTCGGTTTGCCTGGGAGTGCCACCGGCACACACTACTGTGTGTTAGAGAGTGGGCTGGACTTTCGCGTGAGTAAACGAGGGGACCTTGCTCTGTCCGCCTGCAGTTACGGCCAAGCATAACACGACCGGCATGCACAACACTCTATAGTGTCAACCACACTACACGGTCGACTCCACATTGTTACGCGTCTACAACACAAAAGGACCAGGATTCAACTCTCGAGTGTTCCCGAGGTGCCAGGGGTTTTTTTCTCTCCTTTTTTGTCTTCTTGTTCATCTCTGGTTGACCTGCTGCCCGGAGGCTGATCACCGTACTTTACACCTTAGCACCCCGTCTGCTCTGCCTCGTTGGTACCGGTGCAAGAGGGCCAGAGCCCCCACGCCCGGCGCTCCTCGCAACACGCACACGCGGGGTGCACCCGGGTGCTGGACACCCGGCTCCTCTTCGTTTGGAATTCCTTCATTTTTTTTTTAGGTTTCAGCTCTGTCGCCTCGAATTAATGAGCAGGACGGTGTGGAGTGTGTTGACCTAGTGTCGCAGTGACTGCTAACCGCCGGCGTGGTCCACAGAAACTGGAGGAGTATAGTCCGGAGCCTACACTCAAGAGCGACAAACGTCGCTGTCGTGCATTCTAAATGGCGCAGGTGAGAGAAATGACAGGTTAGGCTGTTATCTATTACCGTGCGGACCGCTGTAGGCTTGACAGGCACGTACGGGGGAATGTGTCGGGGAAGGCGGCGCACACTGGTTGTGTCTCCCCGCTGGGATTGCCCCGTGGATGGGTCGCTCGTCTTCCGACCCCCATTCAGAATGAAGACAGCAGTTCTGGGGAGGTTTTTTTTTCCCTTCCGCTCATCTTCTTTGGAGCTTTGGGCTCGGCTGGCCGAGCTCGAGCGCACGTCACATGCAGCCAGAGGCGATGTGTCTATACGCGGCTACTGCATTCCGAAAACGTCTACAACATCATTATTATGTACCGTGACTCCCTGGAATTTTGCCATAAAACCATGATAAACTAGTTTGTTTGAGCCTAACAGCTGTGCACCTCGGAGACGGAACGAGTTTTCAATTTCCCTCTAAACCCCGATGTTATAATTGTGTAATTTGTGCATGTTGTGGTCGACGATTGCAACGGTCGTGGATTCAACAAGTCGTCTGATAATGTCAGAAGAAATTCCTGTCCATGTTCGGAGTGATCGGCCCCTATGTGTTTGAACCGATTCGGTGTCAAATCACATTCTTTACTGCTGCGTAGTCCTGACTGTGTTTATTTCTCATAACTACCAGGCACCGCCATGACCGTGTTGTTTCGGGTTCTTACCAAGCGATTGATGATATGCGCATGTAAAGACAGGGATAGACCGTGAGCCGTGACGGTCGCCCGGTCGCGTTGCCGTAGGCCTTCTCCGCTCGTGTTTTGTAAACCGCCGTTTAACACCCCTAGCGCAAAACCATACTCCGTGAAATACACAATCTCCCTGTGCCCTTGATTGTCCCCTGCGTGCGTAATTCTGTTGGTAGCATGTGAGTGTGAATTACAACACTCAGGCAAAGTTCTAATCTATTTCTTTCTCTATTTTCCCCCCACACCCCCTCTCTGCTGATCCACAGGAGCGGTCTGATCTGCTATCCAGCCACCGACCAGGCTTCAGTGCCGCCTCGGTCGGGGCCACATCGTCCTTCTCCCCGGCCACGCGTCTGTCACACACGCCGACCGCCACGGACTTCCAGCCGCCCTACTTCCCGCCGCCCTACAACATTCCCCAGCCCCAGTCCCAGCTGGATTTTCACCACCCCCACGTCAATACGGACCCCTACGCCCACCTCAACCCCATCCACCCGCAGGCCCAGCACCAGTACATGCACCCCCAGCAGCGGTCGCAGCACATGCTGCGCTCGGGCCGCGACGACACGGACCACTTGAACCTGCACCACCCCGGCATGCAGCTTCCGCCCAGTCGTGACTATTCCGGGGTACGGCGGCCCGATGTCTTGGTCCACGGCGGGCCCCACGGACTCGGCCCTGAGCAGACGGACCTCGCAATGTTGCACCATCCTAGTGGATTGCACGGAGTGGACGACACAACGGTAAGATAACAAACATCTCACATTTTCCCCCCTTTCACCTCCATGGCCATCTGTCCACATTATATCTCCAACTCCCCCAGATAACCCCTAGTCTTAAATGAGTAGCAGAGTAGAATATTTATGGAAATTTACAAGTTCTCACTCAAGACAGAAAGAGTATTGTTAATGATGCACGGAAAAATCAGTAGGCAGTTGAATTGAAGAAGTCGGAAGGGCCATGTTTTGGGATACGACAAGTAAAGAAAATTGACATTTGCTCCACTATTACTAGCAACCTTCAAATTATCCTTCAATCTGAAGGCATTTTCAGGCAAAACCATCAAGATTTTCGGGGCTTACATGGATCGAAGTATCTAATGCTAAGGTCGCCCTGGTTGTTACCTCAGGCATGCCTCAAGCAATGTTAATGCTCATGTAACAAGCGCGCATGGAACTGACTAACGCGGGCATAATGCGAAGTCCCGGCAAAGCATTCATGTCAAAATTTGAGGTCAAGGGTTGCGATGACCCCAATGCTTGCCCCCCCCCCCAATAATCTCAACAATTGTTCTGATGTCTGGAAAAGCAATCACTGACGTGCAACTCTTCGGCAATCGGCAACCGGCCCGTGGCAGGTATTAATGTATGGATTGCAGGCTACACCTGGCTGATTAATAATTCCCCCCACCTTTGTCTTGGCAGCGAAGGGTCAGAGTTTAAGTCGACGCTCAAAAATCTAATCCTTGGAGACCACTTATTTCAAGTCATCGCAGATAAGCAGCATGGAGGCATCGGTGTACCATTGGATTGCACTGCAAAAAAAGGGAACATGTCTATATCTCGTTCCAAACTCTGTACAGCCCTAAATTACCCCCTTTTTTGAAGACGAAAGTTTAAGTTACAGCTCTCCATAGTATTGCTCATAATACTGTGACCTTTATGACCTATATTTAAAGTTACTATTTTTGTGCCACTCACACGGCATCAGCGTGGCATTTTGCTTCCTTCACAAATTTGTGTATAGAGTGGAGCCACCCCTTTTGTGTGTTCTTTCTCGTGTTATTGTAATTCCATGGACGTCAAACCCAGATTGGACCAAGTTGTCTTATTACCCTGCTAGATTGCCGTGCTGGATACATGCTGCACTGCCCTGTGTCTAAGACTAGCTGGCGCAGCGGCAGTGATGCGGAATTCTGTTCTTGCACTAAATCTGAATTCACACAGAAACGCTGGCTTGACACTATCTTCCCGTCTAGTGGAGCCACGTTTGCGCGCACCGCCAATTTCCCTGTGCCGCTGTTCGTTTATGCATTATGAAGTCAAATCGGGGAAAATGGGACAGGCCTGAAACAGTAAGAGAGAGACAGAGAGAGAGAGAGAGAGAGACAGAAGAGAGTAAAGCGGTTGTCACTTATCGCACCACTGCATTTCTTCCCCCTCGGCTTGCCGCTAACGGGTAACCCGTGGCCGCAAATCGTGTTACAAATTTCCTGCTTGAGTTCGAAGCGCTAGGGCTACAGCGCACGACCGGCCCTGTCCTTGCCCCGGCCCGGGTCGGCCTGGCACGGTGTGCGTGCGCCCTGCAAAAGCCTAAATAGGGTGCAACTTCTGCAGAGCGAGAGAGAGACAGACAGAGAGGGTTACTAGTAAGTGCGTCGCACTAACTGCGCTTTATGCCAACCGTACGTTTCCCATTGCACGGTTCATCGGTTAGCCGATCACGACACGCCGACCGAGTCGTGATGTACACCATCGGCCATGCATACACGGGCCCGGGCTCCCTCGCGCATATCAGCATATTTGGCCAAACAAGTCCTCTCGACTGCGTCAAACCACAACACCGGCCAACAATGCCCCTCGTATTTTAATGACAAAAAAATCTCCACAAAGTCAAGTACAAAGAAAGCCATCCTTGAATGTTTTGGTTGATCATAGATTTATGATTACATTTAGTTCATGGTGTAGGCAGAACAATAACATCATTTTTAACCCCAGGGCTTCGTTTTATTCTTTGTCATGGATTGTATGTAATAGTGCCCAAATTTAAATCGCTACTGTCATTTAAATGACGCACACTAAGTTTGTGTGTTTTGAATTACGACCGTCAGTTTCCTAATGTGAACATCAATGGAAATTCTTATGATTTCTTTATCCTAGACGTTTTACTAGTTTTATTTACATACAGGTGTCCAACCACAGTTCTTCGCATTTTTTTTTTTCGTCTTTGATATTTTTCCGAGTGTACGGTACTTGGTTCAGTTGAGATTGAAGATCGGGTTTTGTCGCCATTTCTCCTATAATTAAGGCGTCTGTTTGTGCTGGGTCTTTGGTAACAAGCAGCGAAAACTTAAGGTGCCGTCAATTTGCGACAAGAAGCCCTACTTCGAAACGCGCCTACGTATTTGATGATGCGAGTCCTGGCCTGTACCTTCGATGTGTTTCTTATCCATTATTTCACCTTGAAGGAACCCGAAATCGTATAAAAGGGAAATCAACAAAGATTAGTCAATTTTTTTTCGCTTGAAACGCCCATGAACTAAAAAAAACCCTGCTAAGAATCAAAGATGTTGCGTGAGAGTATTAAGTAATAATGGTAAACATGGTCCTGTGTGAATAGGTGAGGGGATAAGATGTCACCAGGTTCCCTCCACTGCGTATAGTCGCCTCGCTAGATCGTGTCCGGCCCATCAACTCCAGAAGTTGTCTCCCATTTTGTGAGGTCCCGATGACCTCGTGCTGTCAATTCCACCGCTCGCCGCATTCTCAATAGCGATCTCCCAGCTCGTCACAAACGTGTTTTACAAAAGAGGGCAAAATTCTTCAGATACGCGCCGGATGACCTCAAAATAGTTCGCCAACAAAGACATCCGGGAATGAAATTTCGCCCGCTTTTGTTGGGGATTTCCTGAACTGTTTAAACTCATTTTTCAGTCTACTCAAGCAAACCCCCTTCTGTAGAACTGAGCCCAACCCACAGAACAAAACCGTTCACGGATCCACAGTGGCAATCTCTTCAGAGAGCGCGCGAGAGCCATATTTTATCCCTGTCAGACGACCACACATCGATTGCAGAAAAAAAAATGGTTGTTGGTCCTCGGTCGCAGTAATGGCGCGAGATCTATCATCGCAGTCTTTAATCTTACCAACTTCACTCGGGGCTGCTTAGGGATCGTTCCAGTCTTGTCGTGCTACTCAAAGCATTGAGAAAAAAAATGAAGGATTGCTTCATGTGAGGATTGCAACTCGACAATGCTGGTTAGGAGGGCAGACTGACATCCGGATAAGATAATGACTCGCCTTTTTGAAGCATAATTGAAATGTCACATGCAGAAAGTTTGACTAAAATCAAGCCCTGGCAGTGATGAACTGGCTCCACTTCATCCATTCAGAAATCCTGCTAAATTTTTCCCATTTTATGACAATGCTCCCCTGAATTTTGGGCTGATAAGTGTGTACCCGTGCTAGACCAAAGGCCTTTTGAATGAGTACAAAACTGCTCCCTGGTTGTGTGTTTCCGATGCAACCGTATAGTGGGACATCGTTGCCGTCGGACAAATCCTCTGCTGTGTTTTCCGCTTTTAGGTCGTCGCTATTTTGTCAATTTCCTGTGGTTCGTTAATCCACTGAGCGAACTGGCGCATGGATTCAAGTGTCTAAGGTTCGACCATATTGATGCCAACGGGTGACCCCATGATATCCCCCCCCAAATTTACCATTAATGCAAAATTAAAAAAGAAAATTCCGAAGAAGAAATACAAAGACTATCGACATGACAAATTAAATTCTGATCTTGTGGCACGTTTCGATTCTGTTTTGTAAAAGTAGAAACCAAAAAAAAAAAAACCAGACAAACAATACACGCCTCAGCCTAGAATTCTTTTACAGGCACTTTCGTTTCTTCAGTCTTGGCGTTTCTGACGTCCCATACTCAGTGATTATGAATTCGAAATATGCACCGACACTCCGCGGAGTGTCAATAGCGTAATGTTTGCTACCGAATTATTTCCTTGTATCCGCCGAAGGAATGTTTCCGGAGTAATGGTGTCAAGCGGTGCCGTCTCTGTGTCGCAGTGCCTGCATCGCGGTGCAACACGGGACTGTCCGATCGCGGAGGAGGAACTGGAAAAGTCCTCCGTTCTCACAGCTACCTGTCAGGTAGTTTCAACAAGTCCTGATCCTGCGGGTCACATCTTAAATTCTTGAAATCGTCTTCCTCTGAAAATCTGTGAGGGCATCAGGCAAACAGCACGTTTTCGTGCATTCGTCGTGACTTAAAATACTTCAAAATAATGTAAGTTGTGCGTGTATCAGAAAGGGAAAGATCTGCACGTAGTTTGTGAAATTAAATAATCAGATCTGATTTGATCTGACGCGGAGACCGAGATTTTGATTGAGAAAAAAAAATCCCTGGAATAGAAAGAAATGCTATGCCGTGGGCCTAAATGTGAATTACTATGTACATTTAAGGGCGGTTAATTGAGAAAGAGATCCGGGTCTTTCTGGGTTAATGCAACTACACATTAATTGCAATTGGTTTTACTGTGACGTTGCGACAGAAAGTATATCACGCAGGTCCCTGTCGTGTGCTTATAATCGAATAACAGGTGTAACGCATATCACGCAAATCGCACAGAGGCCGAGCGGCTATGTAAACAGACACAAAAAAACCACATGATCATTACCAGACAGTATCGAATAGAAATGTGTCAACAAATACACGAGAGGGATAAGTTGCAGTTAAACTTCATTTCGGACGGGGCTTCAAATTCATTACCCGCGTGTTTGCACATCATGAATTTATTTGCGGAATTAGATCGTGATAAATATAAAGGCTGTGGGGGGGGGAGACAGGTGGGAAGGGTGAATCAAGGATGCGCGTACGGCACATTGTACATTTGCGTAATGGGGACTGAACATTACAAAGCGAGATTTCCGGTGCAACCATTTCTGGGGGTCTCTCAGCCTCTCCTTGATTTTAAGATGTATCACCGGGGTGAAATCAGATCCAGGCGGGGGCTCTA